ATTATAGTTGAATAGAGTATACTTCTGATCTTGTGACTTGTTACTTAATTTTATGCTAAAAAATTGTTATTACGATGGTTTGGCTTCGTTGGGGCAATTTTGGGTTTTTTTTCGTGTTAACGACTTAACAATTTCTGAAAAAAGTTCGAGCTAAACCTGTACAAGACCTCTTCTAAATTTGCTTGTTTGGCTAACCAAATCAGCCTTTTATAATATTGACTTTCTGTTTAAACTTGATATGCTATTCGTTCAAACGAATAAAACAACAAAGCAAAACAAAAACGGAGACGTGTAAGACAAAACATCTTCAGCTCTTATTGAATTGTGCAAGTGATGCAGACGGTCTAGTTGAAAAACTCATATGTCTTACTGTTTTTGACCTTTTTTAAAATTATACATTCTAGTCAAGTCTTTTGCTTAAACTATGACACAAACTTGGACAAAACGATTTATTAAATACCAACCAGCAAAGCGAACTAGCGATGCGATTGAAGACAAAAACGTTTTTTTTTTGTTGGCGATTGTAGCGAATTTTGGACGCTAAAACATTATTTCACTCTTACTGACCCTGGCTGCTTTTTTTGAAAAACTCACTTTTATAGGAAATTTCTAGAAGTTTACAGGGTTTTCTCAGTCACTTTGGCGAGTCGTCTGGCCGTTGGTAAACACGAGTTTTTGAAAAACTCGTCAAGAAAAAGCAAAAAATTCCTAAATACGGCGCATGACATCACTCGAAAGCGAAAATCGACCGCTTTAAGTGAGGAAAAACTCACTTGATTAGGAAACTTCTGCGAGTTGTCAGGATGTGTTCAGTTGCTAAGGGGAACGTTGGTACAGATAGACTAGTTTTAAAAAAATTGTTAAAGAGAAATCAAAAATCTCGCAAGCCTGCCCATAATATCACTCGAAAGGAAAAATCTGCGGCTCTAAGTGAGAAAAACCTCATTTTAATAGAAAACTTCTGGGAGTTTTCAGGATTTTTTCAGATACTAAATCAACGCTATTGGTCGTTGGACAACACGGATTTTTCAAAATTTCACCACGGAAAAACCAAAAAATCCCGAATGCGGCCCATAACATCACTCGAAAGAGAAAATCGACTGCTTTAAGTGAGGAAACACGCACTTGAATAAGAATTGCCAGGGTGTTTTCAGTTACTAATGAGAAGCCATTGGCCGTTGACCGTTGGTATAGACGAGTTAAAAAAAAATTGTTAAGGAGAAACCAAAAATCTCTCAAGCCTGTCCAGAATATCACTTGAAAGGGAAAATCTGCAGCTTTAAATGAGCAAAACCTCACTTAAATAGCAAATTTCTGGGAGTTTTAAGAATTGTTCCAGTTACTAAATCGAAGCGATTGGTCGTTGGACAATACGGATTTTTCTAAAATTCGCCTAGAAAAGACCTAAAATGCTTGAATGCGGGCCATAATCTCACTCGAAAGAGATAATCGGCTGCTTTAAGTGAGGAAAAACTGCCTGATTGATGACTTGATTAGGAAGAGTTTCCAGGTTGTCTTCAGTTACCAAGGATAGCGATTGGGCGTTGGCTTAGGTAGACGGATTTAAACAACATTTTCAAGGAAAGTCCAAATATGTCTCAACCCTGCCCGGAATATCACGCGAAGGAGAAAATTTGCGGCTTTAAATGCGGAAAACCTCACTTTAATGAGAAATTTCTGGGAGTTTTCTAGATTTTTTCAGATGCCACAACGAAGCGATTGGTCATCGGACAACACGGATTTTTCAAAAATTTGCCGCGCAAAAACAACAAATTTCTCAATCCGGCCCATTACATAACTCGAAAGAGAAATTCCACAGCTGTAAGTGAGGAAAAACCCACTTAAATAGGAAATTTTTTAGATTTTTCCGTATTTTTTCAGTTAATAAGGGGAGGCGATGGCCGTTCGAAAACATGAATTTTTCAAAAATTTTACAGAAAACAGCCAAAAATCCCACAATCCGGCTGATAACATATCTTGAAAGAGGAAATGCGTTGCTTTAAGTTTGGCCAAAAGGGCTTTAAGAGGATATTTCTGGGGAGTTTTCAGGACTTTTTCAGATACTAAATCGATTGGTCGTTGAACAACACGGATTATTAAAAAAATAGCCAAGAGAAAACCAAAAATTTTCCAATCCGGCTCATAATATTAAGTCCGTGTCGCTGTTTCACTCCTGTAAAACTAAAACTTAGTAGAAAAAATTTTGATTGAAAAAATGTTGGAAAAATTTGGGAAATTTGGGAAAAATTTGTTAAGCTAAACCGTCGAAAAAGTCGTTGGCTCTCAAAATCTCAATAGCTCAAATGTTATTTTAATGATTTGAGTCGAATCTAAAAATTATGTGTTTGGTTAAGCGGTGAGTCTTCGTGATCGCTCATTGCAAACCCGCCGCAAACATTAGGTGGTTGCCTTGCTTCTTTAGAGAAAATGTTCTATTGAATCTTATAGTTTAATTATTAACAATAGTTAATTAAGTTATTATTATATAAGAGTGCGTTCAAATACTTACATATGTTGTGATTTAAGTAATATTTGACTTGCAAGATCTAAACATCAAAGACATACTATTTTGTCCAAAATGTGGTCATTTGAGAGTACCTAGTTTTTTCTTCACAGTGATTCGACTTTGATTCTCGTAAAACTGAAGGTCGGTCAACAAATTTACAAATTTTGTTGACACAAATCTTAGAAGTCTGGATGTTCTTGCGTTAGTTTTCAATTAAGCATTTTGGTCAAAATATACTCGGCCGAGTCTCATAATTCCTTTATTATTACTTTAAACAACCATAATTGTAGTTGGTTTAAACAACACGGTGTGAGCCCAGATCTCTCTTTTTTTAGGCATTTGACTACTACTCTGCGATAGTAAGTATAAATAGTACTTTTTAGGGCTGAAGTAAAATTCTACTGTAAATGGCTGTAAGGGCGAATGTTTTGCCGTCTTCCTCCCCAAATGCTGCAAAATCTACTTAATATGTTGCTCTCTAGAGTTGTAAAGGTAAATTTAGAACGTCGTTTGACCAAAATGCGAACATTGGAAAGTAGTTTCATCTCTCCATTAAAATTACTCGAATTTACGATTGCGTCTTGTAAAACTGGACGATAGTTCAAGACCACTTTAGAAGCAATTGCTAAACCAACAGCTACCACAAGAATGAAGCCATGAAACAGCTGAAAACCAAAATGAAATAGTAACAAAAGGAATGCATTAGAAAGCCAAAAAGCCTTACGTATAAAAGAAAGCAGACCCAGAGAGAGATTAATTATTGGTGGAACGTTGAGCTGCATGAAATGAAAAAAGATAATCAAAAGTTAATTTATAGATAGTTGAATACGAGATAACAAAAACACAAGACATAATTTGGAGATATAATAACCAAATTTCGATCTACGGTAATGAAAGGAAAAAACCAAAGCTAGCGAAAGAAATACCAGGAATCAGATACATGTTTTGGTGGAAGAAAATCTAAAGAATCCTGAAGATTTGTAAAAATATGAGATCCAACAAAAATGAACGAATCACAATAAACTCCAAAACCCTATAAAGAATTACTAGTAGAAAAAAGACCTGAATACAATAGAATCCATCCAATTCAATTGGTGCCAGTAATAATTAACTTAGAAGATATTATAGAAGAATTTATATATATAGAGGAAGTATGCACAGAACTAATAAAAATGGAACAATTAAATTATGGAACATTATATCAGAAATTTTCAACAATCCTTACAGGGAGAACCACTACCGCAAAGTTGGAAGTTTGGAAGGCTGGCTAACGTCCATACATAAGAGGGAAAGTAAAAAAGACTGCAATAAGCGGTGGGGCATAACTGTATTAAGTACACTTATAAGACTGCTATTCAGACGAATTATAAAAGAACGTATATGCGAAACAAATGGTCCTTTTGAATCAACAATTGAGAGCGTTTTCTGTCTAAGACAATTAATAGAGGAAATAAAAGTGAGATCAAGTACATCTTGTCTTTATCGACCTTTCAAAAGATTACGATACTGTGCCCCTAAGTAAATTTTGGAGAGTATTGAAAAAAACTGGCATAAACGACACACCAATCGACGGCATCAAAGAGTTATAAAACAACACAATATTTAGAACAAAAATAGTAAAAAAAATTCAACGGCTTCAATTTGACCAAAGGTCCAAAACAGGGCTTCTGCCTGTTTCCCGTACTATTAAATATATATCTAAGTAGATGAAGCTCTCAGACAATGGAAAAGGAAGTGTAAGGAAATGGGACTGAATATGGGAGATACCCTTACCTACCTTACACTATGCAGATGACCGAGCAATGATCGCTCAAACAAGGAAGACCAAAAGTATATGTCGAGAAAGCTGATAGAAGAATGCACAAAATGGAGACTAGAGGTAAATTTAAAGAAAATTCAATATCTGTACATAGGGGAAGAACTAGCAGATGACCTGGACCTAGAACATCAAAATGCGAGGAAAGGATGATTAATATCAGGGAATAAAAATGATGTATACAGGACGGACCGAGGAAGTTATAAACAACAGAATATTCAAAGGAAAACAAGTCGTTGGGACACTAAGCACATAATTACGGCAGAAAAACACAAGTCTAGAGATAAAAACAAGAATTATTATGTCATATTGAAACTAGTTGTTGAGCTCAAAGGAATGGCAGCTAAGGCAAAAACTTAAGGACAATTTACTAACAGTTGAAATGGATATTTGGAGCAGAGCGACGGGAAAATCTAGATTGAAACACGAAAAAAAAAATGAAAGTAAGAAGAACAGTATTAACAGCATGGAAAAATAGCAATTAGTATGTACTGACATGTAAGACCTATGAGGGAAGATAGACTGCGGAGGAATGTCTTAGACTTGGCACCCCCAGAAACAAGAAAGAGCAGAAAACCACCAACATACCGGATACAACAGATTACAAAAGCTTTCGCCAGAAGCCTCTTTTCCATTCTCTTGGTAAAGTTGACTATCAAGAAGAATTTTAAAGCTGAAAAGTTTGAAAGTATTTTAATTGATGTAAATAAATTATACATTCTGGTCAAATATCTTGCTCAAAATATCACACTGGGTCGAATCTCCTACTTGACTAGTGGCAATTTCACATAGGTAGTTCTTTTTACAACTATTGTCGCATCCAGATTCCATCGCCACATCGGAGTTACGATATCTGAATCTGGAAAATTTTATCTTTTATATTTGGGCTATCTGTGTTAAAACGTAAAGCCTTACTTGTGATAATCATCCAGCAAGTTATGATTCGCAGCCATTTTAGGCAAAAGTTCGCTAAATTCCTCATGTGCCAAACTTCTCGTTCCAAAGCTCTCCCTGAACGAATACAGCTTGTACCAATCGGGAATAGCGTCTTCAGCCAAGTTCGCCTCGGTCAAGTTGAACGTCCATTCTTGGGTATCAATAACATCCTAAAACAATATTATCAACTAAAACATGCTTCCGATTTTTGGTGAATACTTACGAAGTTTTCGTGATCAACATTGATTATCTTGAAGCTGGGATTCGATTTGTCGCAAATTACCGAAGCTCCGTTTATCGCTATGTTGATTGCTTCGGATACATTAGCGGAACTGTGGTAAACCATGAACTGGTCTTTGTGAGTGTGGCCATTGAATTGGGCAGCAATTGTATTAGAAAACCTGCAAAAAGAGATGTTTTTATGACTCCATATGGATAAAAGCGTGTTGAACGTCGGAGTTTTTGATAAACAAAATACCGCAATTTTTTTCCAGCAAAGCCAATATAACGGGCAAGATGGGTAAAAGAATCAATAATAAATTGTTTCAGACGAAAATATATGTTGAAACGTGTTTACAACTGATGCAGTGTTAAGATTGATAAGACGATTTTTAACATCGCCGCCATCATTCGTTTCTGCGTTTTTTGAATCATTTAATTAGTTGATTTGTCCAAATAATCCAAGAATTAAAAACATCGGAGCAAGAGTTTATTAAAGCAAACCTCTCAAATTTGTTCACCGCCTGCTCAACCGAATTTTAAAAAGTGGAAACTTCTTTATAAGTATATTACAATTATCTTTAGTGCTGAGGATACTTTAATTCAGACAAACCCCTATTATAAGCTATTTTTGAGTTTAGTTAATACCCCATAACCGTACTACTTTCTTCTAATTGACTTCTTTATATGGCCGCTCAATAGTGTCAGATTCGCTGGATTTTGCTTTACGAGAAGAAGCAATTTCTCAGGTGTTGCTATTGATGTGTTTTGGAAGAGAGACAACGCGAACTACTTATTAACTTAGGGATAAATTTTGAACATTTAACAGATATAATATTTTATGGACTTCTTGAAATGATAACTTCTTATGACACAGTCTGAATGGATTGCAATGCGTAATGACGTCGCTATATCTGGCATAGATAAAGACAAGTAGCTACGTGTTCTCACTCGCACGCACATAGCCGCCCGCGATTTCCATATGTTTCCATTAGGCCGGTCGTCTCTTATAATAGTGTGTAGACTGTGGTCGGTTCGTGTGAATATAATCGTGTGTAGTCCGGGGGCCGATGTTCTTTGGATGCGTTTTTGTTCGAATTGCAGTTTTATGTTTTATGGTTTCTATTAATAGCATGAAGTTATCACTTGTGTCGAGTGTCCCGTGACGCACACCTTTTTCTATTCTTTTTCTGAACACAAAATGGAATATTACTCAGATTTGAAGTTACAAGCTGACGCGATCATGTATACCTACGAGCGTTTCCGCGCGTAATTCAGTTAAGAGAGATAAAACCGCAATAATTTTTTTAAATTTTATTTTATTATAAAAGTTTACTTTTACCAACAATATCGAACAGTTTTTCAAAATCTACCATTTTTCCTGTTACTGGTATTGCCATATCATCGAAACTCTTTTTCTGTCATGATTGCCAATATCGGTTCCAAGCGTTATCTCTTAGATTTTTAAATCCTCAAAATCCTGCTAGTCTAATACAGGAGAAGCTTTAAACTAAGTCAGTTCAGAACATTTTCATGTTTCATAATAAATCGTTTTATAAAAAACATAAAAAATCTCCAATTTTTTGTTTATCTAAATTATATTGATCTATACTGCTTTATCTGGAACATCTGTTTTCCGTATTTATCAATGGTTTAAGCAAGATAAAGCAGGGCATTTATTAATTAGATAAACTGGCCTTTTAACTTGGCTCCAAAGTTGAAAGTTTGTTTACTTCAACCAATAATTGAAAAAAATGGTTCTTTAAATCATTAAACTTCGTTTTAAACGGCTTCAGCGCTAACGCCAATAATTAAACTACAAGTTAATCATCCTTCGAAAACCTAATAGACTTCACTAATTATTTGGCTAAAATTGGAATTTTAAATTTAGAAATGTCCACATTTGCCATTGAATAATATCCTATTGGTTTTGAAATAAATCACACATTTCTCAACAGTCCAAGTAAATATGGTTTGGCTCGCGATATTTAGATTAAAATGCAAATCCTATAACAAGCAACAATGTTCTTGATTTTGCCATCCGTCCTGCACATCAATTGAATGATAATCGCATTAAAAATCGGGATAAATTCAGCAAAATGGGAACATATGGTGACATTATTTGCACCCTATTCATCCCAAACGTGTAATCATAAACACTTACAGTTCTGCAATATTTATTAATCATCGGATAACACTATTTCGATAATGTTGATGGATGATTGGGTGTGTTTGCTCACCTTTCGATAATCCTATGATATTCCCTACTCCAGACCTGGAGCAGATCAGCCTTCCCACTGGGAATATGCGATAAAATGTGGACGATTTCTCCACGCTCCTCAGCTTCTTTCAGAGTCTGAGCCAGCCAAGTTAATTGCCCGAAAGGATCAGTGTCATTGTGAATAAGCCACCTTCAGGATCAAACCAAGACAAAAATGTATTTTTCTGCTTTTTGTTAAACCAACATTTTTCTTTAAAAGCTGATATAAGAATGTTGGAATTAATTTTATTTTTCTTGTACTTAACTACTATTTTAAAGGGCCATGGACCTTATTGGAATAAATACATTCATAGTTTGTAGTTTTTACCCATACACCATGTACTTACCAATTCATAGTGTAAGCAACGTTGCTATTTAATGCGATTATTCTGAAACCCTCCCTAGGCGATACCGAATAGTACCCTCCTCTCTTAATCTCTTGTTTAGCGGATTTTGGAAGCCATGTCGAAAATTCACTTATTATCAGTTGATACAACCAATCAGTGTTTAGAGCTGCATCTACGTCATCGCCAATTGCAAACCTACGAAAAACACGTTTTAGTCCCATTGCTTTTTTGAATTATTTGAATATCTCAGCTAAAGTGATATAAGTAACACTTTACTCTCTAAGCCTGCAAAGTAATATTTTAATCCCTAGGGCTGTAAAGCAATTACTTAGCAATTTTTATTACAAAACGCTGCAACATTGAGTCTAACGCGATTTTATTTGATTCTCGTAAAAGCGAAGGCTGGTCAAGAAGTTCTAAAGATTCTTGATTAAATTCTTTGATTTTTGTGTCAATAATAAGTATTATTTTTTCGGTTGCTTGAAAATATGTTTGAAATAATATCGTTTATAAAAAACAAGTGGCTCACCTTAAAGAAAGGGAATTTCCAATTATATTTCTTGAAATTTAAGGCCGAAAACATTTCAAATATCAAGAACTGAAAAGCACTTATTTTTAATGGTTTCATTCAACAAATCACATACATGTTTTCCGATGAGGGAATTTACGCAATAACACTTCAACTTCTTTGGGTACAATATAACTAATAACATAATAAAATAAAATAAATATCCAAGTAAAATTTCTAATAAATAAATAAATAAATAAAATAAACATTTTCAGCTAGCGGCAAGGTAACGGATTCTGCTAAACTCATTTAATCCAAAACGACAGATTTCACCTAAACATATTATCTGATTCCTATGATTTGATGTATATGACTACAATATGGACCTCAAGCAATCTCAAAATATCTTCTTCAATCGATTTTCATATTTTTGGGAAAAACTCTTAATTTTACATTTTTTTGCAGTTTAAGCAAGCTCACTTTTATTAATTTTATTCCAGTTCGCGATATTTTCGCCACACACATACAGGGTTTTTAGTTTCAATGTTTAAACTGCAGTACGAAATTCGCTTCATTTTTGTTCTTGCTCGGTTGCTAATTAATTAATTAGTAGAATTATTTTTTTGCGTTTATACTTCTTGCTTAAGCCAATAATAAATTCAGTCACTCAAACAATTTTTAATTGATTTTCTGTTTCAAGTTTTTCAGCTACCTAAACATTTGTAGCTGACATTCCAACTAATCTCAACTAATCAAAATTCTTCTAGCAACTTTCTCTGACCTTTTGGTACGAAATGTTTCAACATGATTGAATTTCGCACAGAAACGCTTATAGGAACCATTTGTTAAGTATCTACTTACTCGTTCAATGGCGTTGGCTCATGATTGCCCAAAATCGGATAAATCGGTTTTCCAGAAAACGCGGACTTCATTTTCCTAAAAATCAGTTTCATGTCCCTGGTATTGTTTTCAACCGATGTGGACCAGACGCGATGAGTGACAATATCGCCAGTAAAATAAACGTACTCGAAATCCTGAAAATCACTGGTTAAGCCATGCGAAAATTTGCGGTAAAAAGCACCTACAAACTCGTTTGCTTTTCTGATACTTTCATCGACTAAGGCTTCAGAAGCATCAACATTGTTGTACTCAGACCAGTACCCACAAGCGGTTCCTTCACTGGCATCTCCATCTTCTTGGTCACTCTGGCAGCAAACTGGTCGAGTGCAGGCTTTAGTTTTTCCTTGCATGTAAAGCGGGTCGTAATGGAAGTCGGAAATTTGCAGAATGTTAAAGGTTGACTCTGGGTTGCTGGGGTTCTAGAATTTTTACCTTTGCGTTTGTAGTTTATAGCTAATTCTAACTCTGTGTCGCAAAAAGTAAAAACTGACCTTTCTGGGTACAGTTTTGCCTTCCGGAATATCGATGGACCATTCAAAAGTTGTTTGATTGCATCCAGATTTTTGCAAAATTACATCGCAAATCCGCTCACCTTGCAGGCTTTCATCGGCATCCACCAAGTAGGCAAAAATTGGCTGGAAATAATCCAGTCTGTGTATAATTTACATGATAATCCTTAAAAAGCTTACAAGGTTCAAATCAATAACTCCTGTACAGACTTCCGCATCTTCGATACCCAACAGAACGCATACTGCTGCTGCTTCCAGAGCAATGACTTCTAAAGGGACGTTGTTTCTCCTTTCGAAGATCAGGAAGTTGGCCGCAGCGTAGCAAATCGAGCAAATGGCTTTATCTGGTAGATTATTTTAATGTTTGTCTTATTGTAAAATTGCATTTTACCTCCATAAGTCTGCTCGTTGACGAACCCAACGGCAATGGGATCAGACCGTCTGAAGAAATGGGGTACTGCAAGTTGCCGCAGAGTTTCATTGAGGTACGAGGGAAAAGTTCTGGTTAGTTTGAGTTCCTCAAACCCCAGCTGCAATTTTTCAACAAGGCCTGCTTCTGTAAATTAAGGCATTTTCACTTTGAGATTGAAGGGAGTTTGCTAAACATACCTTGGGCACCAGCATGTGTGATGGCAAGGATTGCAGCAATTACAAAAAAATATATTTTTTCCCACATTTTCCACGTTTTATCGCCACGACACTACAAACTTGTCCTGAGGACTGACTGGTGGATTGATAAGTATTGAAGAGTTTTGCCTAACGTAATAAATTATCTCAAGAGTGATTTTAAGTTCAAATATCGTCATTTTCAATCAGCAATCTACATTTTTGTCAATTTTAGCCAACGGTAATTAAAAAACTCAATTTAACCTTGCATGTTTTTAAAAGGCCAGAAATCTTTTCAGAAGTTAAGCGGGATTTTGGCGTGCGCGCTACTGTTCTTTTAAAATGTATGCCAAATGTGTCGCACACAACAAAATATACGGGTTTTGGAGTAGTTTAATATTTCAGCAAATATGATCTTTGAAAATATGAGGGAATTTTCCAAATTGAAGCCGAAAGTTGTTAGACATTTTTCTTCCAGTTTCCAGTGGAGTGGAGTTGAGAGAAGCGTCTAAATGATGTTATTATGTAACATAACGAAAAGTTTCATTTAAATAGATTATCAATTATTCCAAGCACAATGCTGGGACATTGTTCCAGCCAGATATTTGTTCACTTGTACAAATAGAGAGTTGATTCCAATCGCTAATTATTGAAGAACATTAACGTTTAATACACTTTATAACTCAATTTTCTGTATTCAGAGTACTTGATTAAATCTGTTTATCTGCAAAAAATTCTCAATCTTTGTTACGAATCATCTGAAGTACCTGTCGGTGTTTTAAATTCCATATTCCATTTATACTGCTGCTTATTGAAAATGCATTGTTTTTGCCTATACATTTGCCACCATTGGACACTGCTATTGTAAATTTGAAACCCCAAAAAGTATTCTATCAGCCCTCCTACGTAGATACGAGTCAGGAAAATGTCCAAATGTGTGACAAAAACAAATTAAACTAGAAAACCATTAAGTGTCTTAATTGTCCAACGTGCACAAAACCCAAACACAATTCGACTGGACTCATACAAATTAATTAGTGATGTAATGAAGATCCAGAGAGTGAAGCTAATCCTGTTTGCGACAAGACTCGATTAACGACCTTAATTCCTCCATTAAATGCAGCTTAACTGTGAATTTACTGAGTTAATAAGACCAAATATGATCTTCGCTCTTACGTTTAAAAAATTAAATTTTGACAAATCGGTTTTTCGCCATTTTACTATTAATTTGAATCGAGAGAAATCGACTTTTTGATATAAAAGTGCAAAAGTCTTAGATTATTTCGTTATGTACAGCTTTGCCATTGGACATTTTACGCTAGGAGCTAACGTTTCGTCGCAAAAAAAACCATTTTCAACCCCTCTAATGCATCCCCATTTTACCATTTCCAATGTTTTCGTGTTTAACTTTTTTCTCATAAAGCTGGAACCTCAACAACATTTTCTACCTGGTCTTTGCCTGTTCGTTGTTTATATTTTTTACTTTACTTTTTTCCGTTCTTATATATTGGGATCGAAATGCTCGATTTCCGCTCGTGTTGGTATTTTGCCACACCTTTTGCACCACCACAAACATACATATTTTTTACGCAAAAACTATGAGTGCTACAAGGTTTTACAAAGAGCTAAAAATTGTGAACAAATGATTAGTGCATCAACCTAAAAAAAATTAGTTGATTTCATCATCAAACTAAAAAGTTCTGGTAGTTTTTGTACCACGACACTCAAGAATTAACCACTTGTCCAAAACGGCTGAACTCGATTGTTTCATCAAAATATGAGTCTTAGATAAGAACAAATTCACAGCGAGTTTCACAAAAATACATTGTACCATTCTCCCGATATTTCAAAAAAGATAATTTTTCTGAAGAACTTTGACCATCAATACAAGAGGAGCCAGACATTTCTTGTTAGTAAAAGTTAGGTCAGATCCTCTTCTTTTGGTCCAAAGAATATCGCAGTAGCCTTTTGATCATGAGCTTACGGGACACCCTGTATAATAGCTCGATAATAGYTATAAACAATATTTCAATTTATTACAATGGTAGTTTTTTTATTATAGACCCGAAACTTTAAAAAGTTGCWATTTTTATTATTTTTTTTATTTTRTGCTAAGCTATTTATAGAATGGTRTAATAATGACACAATAATTGAAGGTAAATTAAATTTTKAAGCCAAAACGGTTAAAGCTTACYTRAAAAAACGGGTTTAAACCAAAAAACCACGCATTGTTACAMATTGCGCACTCTATACGACAGAAAAAAGTAGTAMSTTAGTAAAAAATCTTCCTCTTYCAACTAAGCTTAAAATCACTAAAATCGAACATTCCGTTTAGAAGTTACAGAGATTTAAACATTTTYACTTTCATTGGCTTTTCCCACTCTTATCAACGTCGGCACCTCAATGAGCCTGAACCAARATGTAAAATTGACTAAGCTTTTGCACGATGTTRCTAAAAACCCTAATTTGGAAATTGKCGAAGAAATTTAAATTGTTAATCTTTACTTTTCAATTGCCCCTCTTGTGGTACCAAACTCTTGTAATAACGAAAATATCCAACCCCAGGATTTTTTYTCGCCCTGGGCTATGGCTGGTAACCACCTTATACGAGGCCCTCGTAAATGGCTTTAAAAAAACTATTTATTTCCCCAAAGACTGCAAGTCGACGTATATCTGGAGAATAACAACTGAGAAGCCTTAAAACAATAAAAAAATGAGTAAACATGCTTTGAGGCTGGAGTTCTGGGATATTTCAAAGCGAAACAAGACAAAATTGCTTGTTGTGTTGACACTTTAATTCAGGCTTATTTTGCGGTAAATCAGAAAATGGGAAACTTAAATTGCCTTTCGAACGTTAGAATGTTGGCAATTACCAAAACAATCGATTGGTCTGTTTTACCAGCTAATCGAAGCTCAATTGTTCTGGGAATTAAGCACTCGTTTGACCTGCTGGAAAACTGGACGATTAATGCATTCGGATCAAATCTATGTCTTTAGTTAATTAAAGTTCAATGAACACCGAGAAAGTTAAACAACTCTATAATCTTTATCATGCTAAAGAATGTGTTATAAGTATTGTTTGTTAACTGTGTTTTCGTATCTGTAATACTGTAAAATTAAAATGTCTTTTTTGTTCTTTCTATCTATCTATCAACTAGCACTACAACCCTGGGTTGGTCTTGGCCGTCCAACTTTTGTCTAGGTGTTTCGAATTCGAAGTTCCATCATTCTATGTGCTAAGGGGATATTTTTTGTAGACCTGACACAATGTTGTCTCTCCAACGCATTTTGGGTCGTCCAGGTGGTATTCGTCCAGTAGGAACTTCCTCCCATATCAACTTCACCAAACTCTCATCCCCATCAGTATATGCACATGACCTCCCCAACCTAGTCACTAGCTTTTGATTTCTTGTACCACTTTCCCATCCTGATACAGTCTCCTAAGGTCGGCCGTTTTTCCCATTCTATATTCATTCGTGGTAGTGTCGTGATATGGTCCGAACATTTTCCGCAAAATCTTACCCTCAAATCGCCTGAGTTTTTCTTCGTTTGCTTGGTCGACGTCTCCGACCCATACGTTAATATGGGTCGGAATATTGAACTGAAGAGTTTCACTTTTGGTGTTGTTGTAAGACTTTTCGATTTCATCAGATTATCCAGTGCGAAGGTACATCGGCTTGTCCATTTTATCCGGCTGTTTATTTCTTCCTTGACGTGGTTATCTGCGGTGATGAATTCTCCTAGATAGTTGAAGCGCTCCACTCTTTCGAAATTGAGGGTGTCGAATGTGATGTTTTGGCCTAATCTATATCGCCGTTGTGTTCGGTTTACACACACGTATTTAGATTTTCCTTCGTTCACTTTTAACCCTACTCTCCTCGTGGATCTTTCAGCTTTGTTGAGCGTTTCCTTTACGGATATTGTGGACCTTCCTACAACGTCAATATCGTCTGCGAATGCCAGCAGTAGTTTAGGTCATGTGCTGTGAGTAACTTTGTTTCTACTCCGGCTTCTCTCACTGCTCTCTCTAGGACAAGACTAAAAAGCACAGCTGATAGGGCGTCACCTTGCTTGCGCCCGTTTGTTACTTCAAAACTATCAGAGTTCATTGTTCACACATACTTTTGATACTCCGCCATCCATGCACAGTTTGGTCATTTGGATAAACTCCTAGGACGTTTTCAGCATAGAGGGTTAGTCTGCTAAGCAATATGTTTGACAGGATTTTGCATGCGGTGCTTCTGATTCCTCTATAATTGGAGCTTTTCATTTTATCCCCTTTCTAATGAATAGGTTCAATAATATTTTCCTTCAATATTGTTAGTGTCTCCTCATTTTGCCATATAGGCGTTATTAATTTCTGCAGCTGGTGTTGCAGTCTCTCCCCCATATTTGATGAACTCCGCCGGTTTTTCATCTGTCCCTGCTACTTTATGATTCTTCATCTTATTTATGACTGAGGTTCTCCGAAGGAAGGTTCGTCGACCGGGAAATCTGCAGTCATATATGTTTCTTCCTTGTGTGTATCTTCATGAGTTTTGTTAAGAAACTTCCTAAAATATTTTCGCCACTCTTCAATCAGTTTCTCGTCAACGACTATCAACTGGCTCTGGTTATTTCTTAACATTTATGAGAATTTGGACCAATATCCTTTTTTCTCCCAGGAGGTGGCTTTGTAAAACTCCCTTGGTCCTGGCATATGTCGATATCTTTCCACAGCTTCCTGGTTTTCCTGCTCGCACATTATTTTCATTGTTCTTACTACTCTTGTTGTTTCCTTTCGGCACTTTTCGTATTCTCTTCTACTTTCATTCGTTTGTAATTGGATCCATCTATTTCTCACCGATCGTCTTTTTTCCAGTTGCTGTCAGCATTCCTCGTCATACCATGTTTTTTCTAGTTCAGTTTCTATTAACCGTTGCCATTATGAATGGATACGTTGTGGAGGCTACGATTAGGCCTATTGTCGGATAGGAACTGGGTTGTTTGCCTAATTTTCCTTTGCCTTTTATAATTAATTTTACTTCTGTTTTGGTTTCTTTTATATTTTATGTTAATGACAACTGGCTTCTATGATATTGTATGACTGAAACCACTCTGTTTCCTTTTAGAGTCCCGACGATGGTTTAAATAACGGCGAAACGTTGGCCCAAGAATTTACCGACTTAGTTTTGCCAAGTTTTGTCAAGCAGTATTCACAGAAACAGTGTTCTTTAGATCACTTCTCTTAGAGAGCACTTCGCGCTTTCTTTAGAGATAGAATCTCTTAGGAAATTTACGTCGTATTCTTTATCTTATTTCTTAGTCGTTAGATTTCTTAGTCAATACAAGTGTCAGCCATTGGGGGGACGAAGCTGGGATTTTAAAATAAATAGAAGTCATTTTATAAATTAATGTATTTTCTACTTGTTGTTGTTACAAGTTGAGATCATAAACTTCCTTTAGATATTCACACATTGAAGTGTCGCCATACACAGAGGTGGACAGTTCACAAAGATAATTCTTTTGGCAGATTTCGTCGCAACCATCACCAGTTCCAGGGTCAGAGTTTTTGAAGCGATATCTAAACAAAAAATTAATATGTATTCAGAGCAAAGGACAAAGAACTGTGAAAAATAATCAAGAGAAAAGGTGGCAGCTTCCATTACAAGCACTGAAATTTGCTCACAAATGATATTCGCCTAGAAGATTATGATCTTCTGCCATATTGATCAGCAACTTCCCAATATCCTCAGGCAGTAAAGTCGGGACATTAAAAGCCTCCCTAAACGAGTAAATTTTATACCAATCTGGAGAAAGTTCGGAATTTTCATTAGCCTGAGTCAAGTTGAAAGTCCATTGGTCAATGTCGATAACATTCTGCAACGACGTTGAAGGTAAATGCCACTGCAAGTCTGCTCAACGGGGAATGTACATACAAACGTTTCCTTATCGATACTGTATATTTTGAAGCTTGGATTGGCCTTATCATAGGGAACAATGGAGGCTCCGTTCCACTCGACATTAATGGCCTGATTTGGGTTGGAGATATTGTAGCGCACTTGGAACGTATCAACGTGAACGTGGCCAGTAAACTGTCCGGTAATGGTGTTGGCAAATCTAAAATAATCGGTCCAGAAGTAAGAAACATGCAACCAAAAGTGAAAAAGCCAGAACCTGTTGATAATTCTGTTATACTCCCGAGACCAAACTTTGATTATATCCACTGATCCAGTTGGAATATGTCCCAGAATATGAACACTTTCATTATTCTCTTCGGCTTCCAACAAAACTTCAATCAACCAAGCCAACTGATCGAATGGGTCCTCATCGTCTTGCAACAACCACCTAAACACAAAATTTGCTCTGTTTAGCACCGTGTATGGAAAACACTCCGATTTCCTAGGCTTAGATCTACATACCAGCAGGCTCTGTATGCTACGTTTGAATTAATGACAATTATTCGAAACCCCTCAATAGGGCTGAATGTATAAAAGCCTCCTTTAGCAATTGTTTGCATAGCGGATTGTGGCAGCCATTCAGACCACTCTTCTTCGATTAGATCGAACAGCCATTTGGTGGACAAGTTTGAAGGAATGGAGCTATTCAGCACGTATCTGCAAAAGATTGTTAAATTTTAGATTCAAAGGAGTTTAGAAACTCACTGATTTAAAGGGGTGGCTTCATGGTTTCCCAATGTGGGAAAAACCGGCACTGAAAATCCAGCTTTCAGCTTCCGAAGGAACTTGTCAATGATGGCCGCGTTACTTTCCTGAGTTGTTGACCACATCCGATGAGGCACGATGTCTCCGGTGAAATAGACAAAGTCCACATCCTACATAGGAAAATTTTCAGTTTTTATAGTTGGAAAAAAGATTGAGCCTATGCATCTTCCTATGGAAGCCAGAAGTAGATAGACGCGCCTCCTGGTCTACTCGTATATGAATAATTTCTAGTCTTTAAAATTCACATTGTAATAAAAAAACTTACTTCAAAAGTATTAGCAAATCTGATGAATTCATCAACCAACGTCTCCGAAACGTCGTTTCCGTACTCGGCCCAGTACCCGCACGAGTTTTGCCCACTTCCATCCTCTTGATCGCTTTGGCAACACAGTGGCTCGTTGCACGTTTTCACTTTATTCGGAGTATACATGGGATCCACGTGGAAATCAGTGACGTGCAGTACTTTGAAAGTCGTTGCAGATTCAACAGGCTAAACAGCCAAAATATAGAGATTTTGAGATTTTTTTCAAATCGCTTTTTACCTTGGGACGCAATGGGGATTGGCCTTCTGGCACGCCAATGGTCCATTCAATATTGGTGAAGTTACATTGATTATCTTGGAGCATTAAATCGCAAAATTTTGCTGGGTTTAGGTCTGGATTATTGTCCGCAATGTACAAGATTATATCCTGGAAAAAGATTCCTAATAGCAGTGAGTCTATAAAGGAAGCAGAAAAGTTCTTCAACTGTTTATTTGAATAGTGTGGGTTCTGAAAATTTACAGCAATGCAGTAAAATATGTTTTTTTTATAAATTAGGAACAAACGTTAAATAATCGCTTTCATTTCGAGCTCAAATGTGCTCATTACATTGTAAACTTTAGCAAATATGTGCTCATGCTTTGCTTTACTTTATCACTTTCGAGTGAAATATTTTCTTTTATTCTGCAATATTAAGACGTAAAATTCATGTACAATTTAGAACTATTTCGCATGGTTTCTGTTTACTTAAAAGTATTTCAATATTTATCACCAGGAAATGATGAAGAATTTAATGTTTGTTTAAGCATTTCAAGGAGCAAGTTAAGAAAGCTTTGGGCATATTTTATGCAAAATGTAAACTTTAGGCTAGAACAGTTTATATCCTTTAAATGGATTTTATGCGATTTCATAAAAATCTGAGGACTCAATAAAAATGAAAGCAGAGGCAATTTAACAAAATTTCAAAATCTTCAAGAAAATCCATATACATTCTATTTAAATAAAAAATATGTTGAGTGTGATTCATGTCCAAAATCCCATTTTTTTTGTAAATTATTCTTCCCATACTACAAGTACCGAGCTTTCAGAATATATAAATTTTGATAGTCATTTAAAAGGCTCCTGCGGTAGATTTGTTTGCAATTTTTATGCGAGCAATAAAAATGACAATTTTACTTAACATATTCCAGTATTTCCTAAGATCTGAAAGTGAGTATAACATAAAGTGCAGGATTCCTTTGGACAGCAAGTAGACCAAATGCATTAATCTGAGAAGTAAACTATGCATTTTTCGGTTTTAACTTACGGCATTTGAATCGATTGTTCCTTCACATACGCGGGGGGTTTCGATATTTAGCAGACTGCAAATTGCCTGCAGTTCGCCTTTTATATTGATGTCGCTCATTCCCATTCTTCTTTCTTCAATTACAAAATTCACAACTACGGAACACAGATCACATATTACGGGATTCTCATAAAGACTGCGATTCAATCCATGCTCTTGTCTTCGAAAAAAATGGGGAAGCTGGAATTTCTGCAGCGATTCGTCTAAGTAAACAGGACGAACTCTTGTTTGGTGATATTCATTAAAACCCTGCTGGATGCTTTGCAGAATATCTGAAAAAAAAACATTTCTTTCATAAGGACAGTTTCCTAAAACTAAAAAGGAATATTTGCTTATTTAGGGAACAAACCTGAATGAAGTTGAGCTAGAATTACGGCAATTACTTTAATGAAAATTTCTCAAAAGAAGGCTGTGCCGTGAGCACATGATTAAAAGAATTAATTTTGTTGCGCCAAAAATATAAGCTTACAAGACTTCACAAAGAGCACAAAAATATCAAGCTAGGATTAGTTCAGCGCAAAAAAATAAGTTGATTACAGCTATCGAATAGAAAGTTCTGAGTAATGCAAGACATACAATCAACTTAAAATCTTGGGAGATTAATTAAAATTCACCGGATCATTTTCCCGATAGAGTAAAAACATTATTTTATGCATACAAGCGATAAATTAGAAGATTAATATTACATTTTTGTAAAAATACTTAAATTGACATCAATTGCTAAAAATAATCCCCTAACTGAAAAAGGAACAGAATTAGCTAAATAATGGACATTTTCCAGCAGTTGTTTTCATCCAAGTAAACTAACTAAAACTCAATCAATTAAGAGCTTTTCGTTATTCTAAATCTGTTTTATTAATCTGCGCTGCTTTGTTCACTTTAATTTGCTTAATTGATTTTCAGAGAAATTAGTCAATCGGATTAAGTAAATCGTCTTGATTTCATTATTCAGATTGGACGGTTAAATCATTCCAGACGTACTCAAGTGCAAACTGAAATGTCGATTATTTGTAAAAAGATGTTGCACATTATTGAACTTAGAAAACAACACGTTGATAAGATAAGACAATTCTTTATTGATATGTCTCGTGTTTTGCAAGGTTAATGTTTAGAATATTTGATCGCCTAATTTTAAATAAAGTTTGTTTTATATTTTAAAAGTTGAAAAATTGATGAATACTCAGGTACCATATGTTACAAGAACAGGTTTTTGGCTGTGTCAGAGGCCAGCCACATTTTTGGTGCGAACCCTTAAACCACCTTTTAAGGGCTATCTTGTGACAGCCAAAAAGTTGTACTTCCACCACGCATTTATGAATAAGACATTATCAAAAAAATGTTGACGTCGTCTCTCCATCCTCAGTTTCCACATTTTTCTTCTGTGGTTCATTTCATTGTTTAAGTCGCTTGATTTCATTCCATCATCCACGTTATTCTTTCAGATTCTTATTGGTGTTTCTTTATTTGATTTTTCCGGTGGAGTCCATTCTAGCATTTTTCGTGGACATTATTATTTTTGTTTTTTTCATGAACTTCCTGGTTTATTTTCCACAGTTTGCATATTTTCGCGGTTTGCAAGTGTATGGTGCTGAATCATGACTTTTCTAAAAGTTTATCTGCCTTACAGTTTGACTTGACACTTTTCATTTCATTAAACCTTGATTTAGTCATTTTTTTTTTGTTGTCTCGATGGTTTTTTCTGCGGCTTTTTTTATCGTTTGTTCAACATCGTCCCACAATCCTTCAACATTCAATGTTTGATCTCCATTCTCAATTAGTTACTGTTCCAGTTTTTGTTCGTATTTTTGTTGTTCAGCTGGATATTCAACTTTCGCTTGGTTCCATTGTGTGGTCGTCCAGCTTTAATTAGATATTGTTGCACTTCTGTCCATAGTCGTGCTGTGGAGACACTGTCATTGGCTTTCTCTAAGTCTGTTAGAGCGATATGCGTTGCGTTTCTCTGTTATTTTGAGTACGTTTTTTAATGCCCTGTTTCAGTGTGAAGAGGTGATCGATCGTCAATCTGCCCGCTCGAAACCCTGGCGGCTCCTCCGTTCGTTTGTCTCCCCTTGGAGCCTTTTAAGTCTCCTATCAAGTTCTTCAGAATTCGCGAATACATTCTTTTCATTTCTATGCCCTTCTCCAGCTGGATATAAGAGGGGATTTTCGGATCCTGCTCAGCAGTAAAAGGAAAAGAATAGCAACTATTTACGCACACCTCCAACGATCTGTTCAGTACCAAATTTCTGGCAGTCAGGTTTAAGTAAAATATTTTAAATTATAAATATTTTCAGTTATGTAGGTGTGGGACAGTTTTTGAATGTTTCTTAAATATCTAGTTCAAAACAATTTTCTCCTGACTGTTATAGAAGGTTCCATCCGAGTTAAGAGCGAATGTACAATTAAGTTACTGCTTTGTATAATATTAAACATACATTTTGCCTGTAACATCAAACTCGTTTCTCCCGAAATTCAAATACTCCGGAATCAGCAGGGGAGAAAGAACCGCGGCTGCCAATATACTTTTTTTAGAATAAAATTTTAAGGTCAGATACAGCTTAACTTCGGAAAAGTAATAATTAAATATTTTTACTGAAGAATAATTTATAGGGTTCGTAATTTTTGGGTAAAAAGGGGAAAATGTTAAACCATGTAAAAGCCTCGTAAAATACTAAATCAGACACATATTTTAAACAAGATTTTTTAAATAAATTTTATTTAAAAAAAAATTATATTAATTTCGTATTGACAATGTATAAAATATTTTCTTATCTTCAAATCATCCATTCTTATTGTATCCAATTTTCAACCCAGAATTTATCTGCACTTACCATCAGTGGTTTGACTGTCACATGATATCACTGTGAGCGCAATTAAACACGTGAACCAACAAATCAAGTGGCGGACCATTTTGCAATTTAATAATAATGATATTCAAGTAACGAAATAATGAAATTGATTTTATTTAATAGATTTTTATACTATTTTACTTCTATATCAAAGCAGGCCCGTATGGACCAAATATTTATGGGTTGTTTTAGCTAAATACCTTTGTGTCAAACTAAGTCAGTTTCGAAAAAATCTTCCTCAGTAGTAACTGCTGTTTATTTGCCTGCGGGATTTTTTTAAGTGATAAAATGTTCAAAACATTGGGGTTCCCTGATGCCAAATGCGCGATTTTCAATAATCTCCATGACGGATCTGATTCAATTTCATAAGATCATCTTTATCTTTTTAAGTTACAATTCACCGTTGAAACAGCGAATTTTATCAGCTAAACACTTCAGATGGGCAACAAAGAGCGTGATTTCTGCTTTTATTTCCCTACGAGCATTCTGGTTGTAGTTATACATATAAATAGACAAAAAACTTCTTCTGCAAGGTATCCCTAGTAGTGGAATATAGTTGGAATATAGTGGAAATTGCAAATGACACTCAAAAGGTTCTGTTTGAAATCATTAAACTAACAATTCTGGTGGATCAATTTTCAACTTGAAAATTGCTTTAAAAATTCTCAACAAGAAAAGAAAGAAAAGTGTTCGTTGTTAGTAAATATACAAAGCACGCTCAAAAACCCTCAACTTGTGCTGGGAAATTTGGCAGTCATCCATGAATTTTCCGTTATTGAGAGTTTGCAAACGTCGCAATCTCGTATTTTTTTACAAAGCTAACGAAGCGGAAACTCAACTATTTGTGCCTGGGAATATATCAAATATATGAAGTCAAGTGGAATTAATGTGAAATTTGAATAGGCGAACTTTTATGTAAATTGATTAATTGGTTGATGAATGGTGTAAAAAAATGAGGCGAAAATCATGTTTTGTCTAACATCTTCAGTTAATGCGATAGTTTTTTTTCAGCGGCGAGATTGAATTTCCTGTTGAACTGTGTTAAAGGTTTTTGTAATTGCGTGAAACATCCTTACTTATCAAACACTGATTATTTGATTTGATGTTATCTGAATTTTAAGGCATTAAAATTACACTTACAGAGAGAGCTGATGTAACTGCCGGTCAGTCAAATGTAATTTGATAATTGCTGGTAAAAAGCAAGATAAATAAGAAAAAAAATGCTAATTCACAGAGGGAGGAAATGTATTGTAAACGAAAATGTTATATATTCTTGCGCCGTACATTTTCGTGCAAATAAATAACCAAATATTTAAAGGATTTAATACCGTAAAGCTAGGAGGTAATCCACAAATTATATCACTAGAAGGAAAGCCGAAGCTAAGGAGATTTTCAACTTTAAGAGAACCAAATCATATTCTTTTTGTGTTTGATCAAAGTAATAATTATTCAGGAAAAAAAATTTGTATCTTTTACTTATTCATTTAAAAAATCTTTAAAAATGTACGGATTTCGTGATGTCAGTAGGAATGCAGACGACAGGTTCATAAGGAATTGTCTACGGTTTTGTAATATTCCTTCCTGAAACTGAGTAGTTTTTTATATATTACTGCGAGTTTTTCTCTTTCGATTGGATTCATTTACGCCAATCGGTCACGATTTCCGTTTGCGAGAATCAGTTTCGGGGCTGATTATAATGCTGTTCCTGTTTGGAACAATTCTCATTCGGTCACATTTACGACGTTTCGTATCATCAATTTAAGGTTTCTGATGATCTGAAGAACATCATCCATCTAATATCCCTTTGGTTAGGAATGACATATCTAATTTTGAAAAATATATGTTTAAACAAGTTTAGAATTAATTGAAGAACTATAAATCAGATAAGTAAACATAAGGGGGAAGAAAATAAATATAAAAAATTCTAAATAAGATGACACACTGTATCGTTCGTCGTCCGTAAACCCCTCGGAGGGATGTGGTGGCATCATGTAGGAAGTCAATCAATCCATTCCATCAATCCAAATCAATTGGGGTGGTGTATTGCATCTTGCAGGCTCTCTCCTATCAGATTTTCCATTTGGTACACCGATCGTGAAGGTGAACGCCCTCTTGGACTTTGTCCACTTACTTTCCGTTCTTTGATCAGCTTCTCCATTGCCTCTGATCTGCTCGCAATGTGTCCAAACTATTTTAAATACTGCTGGTTCACATAAGTGTATAGTCTCGTTTTGATTCGCAGTTGTCTCAGAAATTGATTCGTTCGTGCGGCGTGCTGTCTATAAAATGCGGAGCATTTCTGTATAGAACTACACCTCTAGAGCGTCAATTCTGGGATGGTCAATTCTGGGATGGATACTTCTGAACCAACCAGGCCAAGAATATCTTTAACCGGGCGGAACGAGCTCTTTTACGGGAACGGATACATGAAACCCGCCGAGATCTTGCACATATTGACAGTAGACTCTTACCTGCCTGTAAAGTGGATAGATTAACAGCTGACCGAATGATGGTGGCCGAAGCAGTAGCAACTAATCGCCAAAAGAAGAAGTTTGATACGCTGATGGAAAAGCTTCAACGATCCAGCAAAACAGGACCATCACCCGAGGAGAACCAACGGAAGATTGTTGTCAACTTGACCAGCAAGGAACTT